AACAAACCATCGAGTGACATCACTTGAGAAGCCATCGCTCGAGTGGAACCCGAAAAGGAAACGGAGAGTTGGTCGTCAGTGCAAGGGTGACTTGGAGGAGGTCATGTGAAGAGGAGATGAAGGCGTGTGGACAGATCTGGAGCCAGATGGCAACTCTAGCAGAGGACCGAACTCAATTGAGACGCGCGGCTTGAAGCCCTATGTTCCTCTAGGAATTAAAGGGAATAATAATAATAAATACAAGGTGTTGTTTCTCAAGCTCATACTAAACTTGAGAAAAAAAGAATAATTTTTGATGGCAGCTTATCCCAGTACATGAGGTGAATGTGGCGTCAAGCTAGTGGCTTGAAGTTTCTGGCTTATCGAGGTAAACGAGTGCGTCGGTGGCCGGGAATCGAACCCCGGATCATGTGCATGGTCGGCGAGCGTCCTAACCGCTGTGCCACTGACGCACACGATAAACTGTCAATCCATCTCTTATTCGATCCTGAACATCATGCGGTAAACCCGCTGAAAGTTCTGTACATTATATACAGATATAGATCTTCCTTCATGTCACTCTCGGACAACCCACTCGTCGCTTCACATTTGGATTTCACTCGAGCGATGGCCTGCATCGTGCGCTATGTCATTCGGTAGTCTCTTCAGTGTATGCCCACTCCATCTACGGTTTGTCTTCTGCATATTTGTAGAGTGATATGTTCTTGATCGGTTTGTTACCAGTGTTTTTCGTCACTAATTCCTTCTGGCTACCCGTTTGATCTTCGTATAGAGTAAAGACAGCTGTTTATAAAAGTCTACAGTGACCTGTTGAAAATGCTTTTCTTGACATGCAGTACAAGTTTCTGACCCGTATAAAGAAGAACTGACTTACTCGACGTTTGTGTTGAAAATCTGAATCTTGTTCTTTGTGCTGGCTGAGTGCAGAAAATGTCACCTTTCCAATTCCGCTTGGTTGGCTTTGACATCTTCATCTATCCGAGGTGTATCTCCGTGGTTGATATGATGCCTCCTAAAAAAGTGAAGGAAGTAACCTCTGTTAAATCTCTCCCGTCGATGGTGATTGGTGCTGGTTATTATCTCTGTCGGTTGGTTATCTTTATCACCTCCGTCTTCGCTATGCTCACCTGGATGAGTCTTGTCTTTGCCACCAGCCTCTTGAGCCAGATTTTTTTGGTTTTCGTCTGCAAATCTTCGAGTTTGTGTGAGTGACATTAAACATATATATCATCTGTGAAATCCAAATGTTCTAGTGTCTTCTTATCGGTCTTCCAGCGTATTCCTGTCTACTCACTCCCAACTCACATGCACTCTAATGCATAATCCAGTTCACTACAATTAAGAATATCATCGGTGATTGACAACTGGCAGCCTTATCCTTGGTCCTATCATACTTCGAACGCCTTACTGAATTCTCCGTTGTAGATCACCTGACGCATGGCATAATCATATAACAGCCAACTGTTGAATGCGGTTGATAAGGACTTTGGCAGAGCACGGCATAGTATTGAAGCAGTCTCCAAATTCACTCGTTGATCAATACCTTCTTTTGAAGAAGGCCTTTTCAAATTTGATGAAATTGACGTGCACACTTGAATAAGGACATTTACTTCCATACAAGTTTGATTATTAAATGTATCACACAGTAAGTAAAACAGTGTTATTTACTGGATGACAAGGTTTCGAACACAATTTTTCGTGGTTCATAATCATACCGGTTGTAATCTCACGACTTCGAAACTCCAGTTTTACAGTTTTCTCTATTCTTTGCTATTTGTCGCCGTTAGGGTAGTAGAATTTTCCAGATATCTGGCTGGACAGGTGTTGAATCATTCCTATTACATGTATTTGCAGTTGATTCGATAAACAAAACTTCCGTTATCAATCTCTCCCTCCACTTTATTACATTAGATTTTGAAACTGTCATCTTATCCCATCCCGTCCTATTGTATGTTTGTGTGTAATTGCATGTAGTGAGTCGTATAGCTGAACTATTCTCCAGATATATCATCTTACTCGGGTTAACTAATCTAGATTTTGCTAGGTTTTCGTGCTCCGCCAGTCTGACTGACCCCGTTCTACTACTTTGACCTGACAGTCATCGCAGCTGGGTATTAGATAACCTAAATTGTTTTGTTTATGTTGGCTACACAGGCTTGATCCTTTAACCGACAAAGCGTGTTTCTAATTGAGTTTGTGGTTGGTTTTAATTCCAACCACTTTCAATCCTGCATTGTTGAGAATTCTCCGTGAGATGGTTTCCGAGGTTTCTTCCTTGTGTGGAATTACTAGTGATGATTTAGTTTCCTTATTCTTGGTGTTGTCTTGCGCACTTTTGACTTGCATGTCGTCATTAATATAATAATAATTATTATTATTATCATTATCACTACTATCATTAATTTTATTTTTGCATTTCCTAACATATTTCTTGACTAATTTATCCGGGGGTAATTATTAAGTCTCAAGGCTTATTTTATGTGTATCAGTTCCTGTCTTCGATTTTCTTTGGTACTACATAGTTTTTGTGCCAAAGGATCTGCTAGATCCATTACACCCTCATGTTACTGTTTTTTCATCGATACATTTCTGCCAATTATTAGTTGCGAATTTCTATTTTCCAACTTTCTCCTACTTTTGTATGCTACATGGAATGCGGCAAGTTTAATTGTGGCACTTCTGTACACAATTCTATGTTGAAAACTCAGTCTGTAATCTTTTCTCATTAATGGTTAGTTACCTAGCTCATTTCAATCCGCTATGTAAATCATAGTTAATAATCCTGTTTGCATTATGTATACTTGTTGAGTGAAACGTCTTTTCTGACTAGTTAGCTATATTTTAATGGAGTAATGATGTCACCATTATGTTTTTTTCATGAATTCATCTTAATTCACTGTTCTCTTGCCTGTATTTGAATTATGCTGGTACTTTAACATCTAAGTTACCATAGTAACAATAGAATTATTCAAATTAGCATACTGTTACACATAATAATATGTTGTTTCCGGTAGTTGTGAGTTTATATAAATCTAGTTCGTGAAATAACTGATAACTCTATTACTAAAAATATATTTTACTTTCAACTCAAACTACTATTGATTAAATTTAATTTATCTTGTAAATTTTATATGTAATGAAGAAGTTATAAAATGAAGATAAATTTTCCAGACGTTGAATTTGATGCCTAGATTGATATTGAAATGTCTTCTGATAAGTAAAACTTAGTAATCATAGAGAAGATTTGTAGGTTAGGGGGATGATTTGCAATTAGTTGTATTCTCTGAGGTGGTCGGTTTAATTGCAAAGCTTTCATCGTCCCCCTTCTAGAAAACATCTTCAGTGAAAGTTTTACCAAAAAGTGAACTGATTTAAATTCTTCATTATTGATATAGAATTGTGTCTCCTGGTAGCAACCATCTTCGTGACTGGTAGTCGATTTACATCTGTATTGGTCATTTTTTATTGACTTGGAATTCGAACTTTCTCGTCACGTAATTTACTTTTGATTAGCTGGTAAATTTGGTCAATATTAATATGTTTGTTAATCGCTGATTCACTTGAGTACCAAGATTCTAGGAATTCTCCGGCACTTTTGGTGTCCCCTCTAATTGAGATTTCCACATTGTCCCAATCAAATTGGTGTCTACAATTATTCACATGCATTGATATGAACGAAAACATGTATATATATTGTGCCTTTTTACAGCTAATCTGTGTTTTTGGATTCTGATTCGAAGGGGTCACCCACTTCGACTAATGTCATCTCTGTTACAGTTCATACATGGAATTTATTTTGTAAATGGTGTTAATTTTATCTTCGTTTTCTGTGTTGGATGGGTCTTTCGGTTTGCACACTATCGAATGAAGTGATTGTGTTAGCTGGCTGTCTGGTTAGTGGGCTTGTGTGCTATATCTATTTCAAAGGGTTTTGGTAGGATGAATTTTCTTGTAGTCTTTGGTAATGGCTTCTTGTTGGTGTTGTGACTTTAGTTTGAACACTTTTTGGTGAAATTGTGTGTGGGGGTGATATTCATTGTTTTTAAAGACGGTTAGTAGGTATTTCTCCTCCATTCTCTTCAAGACCGGAGTAGTGCTACTGTGTGTTTGAACTCTTTTAAACAATGTCCGCAAACAATTTCTTTTGTGCATAATCAGGTTATTACTACTATAGTTGAGTATTTGGTCTGTGTGCATTGATTTTCTACATACTTGTGTTTCTAAATTTTCTGTATCAGTTCTTCTCATTAAGTTTGTCTGTCTGTTTTCAACATAGAAGTTTGCACCGATGTGCAGCAGTTTGAGTCGCTACACTGCACTCAGCACACAAACCCAGAGAAGAAGAAGAAAGTAAAAAGAAACGCAAAATAGAGACAGTAATGAGGCAAAAAGAATAGTGATATCGAAGAACGATATAGTTTTATTGGGTATTATAAGTCACAAGGAGTGAATGCATGTGCTAATACTAACTGTATTATCAATATCATGCTGTGCTGTAGTTGTACACTTTAATCTCGGTTTCACAAATTCTACCAGTTCACGACATAGCGCAGCCGCTAGTCAGTCAGTGTCTTCTGCGAGTATTTGTCCTCACACTCGATCTGCTGCACCCTGCCGGTCACGACTTCCCACTAGAACCCCAGGTAACTACCTACCCGAGTAGGGCTAGTACCTAGTGAGCATCTCATTGATATATTCAAGTGTTAGTTTGTAGGGATTTGATTAATTGGTTACAGGGACACACTGATGAAGAGTTCCAAACTAGAAGAACGACACAGCTGTCCAGTACTCCAGTGCTGGCTTTCTAATGGTTCTCTAACCGATGTCAGTTCATCATGAAATCCTGTAACTAATCAAACAAAATCCGTAACAAACCAATCCTTGAATAATAATAATGTAAATTATCATAGTAAGGCTATTATGTCTTCAGTTGTCTTTTCATTGTTTTAGTCAATAGTTCACTTTTTTTTTGTTTTTGTCTTTCCCTACTCTCTTTCTAGGTCTTCCTCAATATTATCATTGGTAGCTTGTTTTTAGGTAGTGCCTTACCAAATTTTCGATATTTTCATATGGCTAAAACATCAGCTCAGGATATATTCAATATTATTGAACAGGTAAGTCACTAACTGGCTTAGATAATTTTTGTGTTTTGTAAAATATCCTTCTTAATATGAAGAAATTAATTATTTTTTTAAGCAGAAATGATTGCTAATCTCAATAGATAGAAACATGAAACATGATTCTGCAGTTAGTGTAGATTTTCTTCTCAAGCCTTTTTTGTGGCCTGCCTGCCTGCTTGTATACGTCTGAATAACGTAGCAAGATGTCGCCTATGTCATCTACTGAAGCTGCCTGTCTCTAAAAGAGTGATGGCTGATAAGGATAAGCCACAAGGAACTTTGAAGGTGCCACGAACTAACCAACAACCTGTCAACCAATTATTATTGTTATTATTGTTCCCTTGGGTTCCTAGTGGAACACACGGCTTCAACTGCACGTCTCCACTTGCCACTTCTGTCTTCTGCTGTACTTTTCACCTGCATCCATGTTAGTCCATACTGTTTCAACTCCTCTTCACACCATCTCCTCCATGTCACCCTTGCACTGACGTCCCACTCGCCGCTTCCCTCCCTTTCGGCCTGGCTCCACTCGAGAAATGGCCTGACGTGCTCGCGATGTCACACAGTGATGGCCTCCTCAGCAAGTGAGTGTCCAATCCATCCATCTCCACTTCCTCCTGCATATTTGTTGGTTGGCGATTGGTTTGTTCTTGTTTTGTTTGTTTGTTTGTTCCCATAGTTTCTTGTTGGTGATTCTTTCCGACCCAGCCCGGCCATCTGATCTTGAGTATAGATCCAGCGAAGAGAGTTGCTGGTTGATAAAGGTCTGCAACAGACTGTTGGAAATATTCTTTGTGACCCGCCCGCCAAGTTTCTTATCCGTATAGGAAAACTGACTGACTTGACGTTTGTATTGGAAATCCGACTGAATTTTGTTGTTGATGCTGGCTGAGTGACGAAGATTTCCAGATTGGTTTCAGGTTGATGATGAATGTGTTTCTCGCTCGATCTGACATCCTCGCCCGTTCCGACTGCCTGTAGTTGAGACAATGCTCAATGCTAGATAAGTGAGTGAATGAAGTAACTTCTTTCAAATCCCTCCCGTTGATGGGATTGGCGCTGGATGTTGTTGTTGTTGTCTATGTTCACCTGGAGTCCTGTCTTCGCCGGCTGCTTCTTCGACCAGTTTGTCGGTCGGATTTCGCTTGTGATTTTTCGATTTTCTGCCTGTCACCCAATAAATATGCAAAAGTAAATAGAAGCGGATAGGGCGCACACTGAGATGACTGTATAGTAACATTACACGCCATGCTCTCTAGGGGAACTGGAATGGGAATCGACGAGTTGAGAGTGTCTTTGGGCGTGGAATGGAGGAGGTCGTATGAGGCTAAAATGAGACTAAAACCAATGGGTAGTCGTGATCCCAATCGAAGAAGATAGCAGGGAACAAAGTAATATATGCATATATATATATATCCTCATTCTAATTTCTAATTTCCTTTATTTAATCTCGTTCCTTTTCTTTTTGTCTGCAATTTTAAGTATTTCATTCATTTTAATTGATCCCCTATCAAGTCAGACCTCATTTTATTTATCGATTTATACTGTAATTACCTAAAATAACAAAACATATCATTGACACTTTGGAAGGTAATCGCTAGAGTGCATCTTTTGTGTGATAACTAAAAGAACTTACTAATCCTTTTTTTGACAAAAGAAGACTTTGTTGATTCTGAATATACATACGCTGGACGATGTTGTGCCAATGTTAAAAGGTGCATCATCGTTGTTGTCATCTTAAATAAAGGTTGCTTCTTATGCTTTATTCAAATCCCAAGCGTAACACTCCTACTACTCCCAGGTAAGACAAAATCCGTTGGTGTGCATTCTACTACTAATTTAAAAACGACTTAGTGAAAGCTTTCTTACAAGGATCTGACATTTCAACTGGGACTGAGGTTTTCACTCCAACTAAATCAGTCAATCAATGAAAAATTCAACATGTTCTCAACTGTCAGAACTCCTATCGTACTCTTAATGCATACATATATAATTAACTAAATATTATAGGTTCAATAAAAAATTGTTGGAAAGTCAACCATCATTTATCACTCAATGTCTTATTACTTCGTAAGTTAAGTATCAATTAGTCATCAAGTGTGAGTCTCCTCAACTGTACGCACCCACCGGAGTTCGAATCCAGGACCTTCCCTGTTACAAGGTGAGCGCGCAGACCATTAAGCTACTGCGGCGCATTAATTCCAGCTTCTGCCAATTCGCGACTATACACATTTGGCACAACCTCCGCTCTCAACGTCACGACCGAGTAATTGTCTTTTTTGCCTGGGTTAATCGTACTGGCTTAATGAAGTCACTAACTTCAAGTCTTTCCAATGATTCTTTAACTGATATCAGCTTGTGATCAATCCTGTCTTTAATTAACCAGTATTCTGTCTTACTTTGGTATAATTTCTGTCCGCTAGTTTTTTTATATTGTTGTAAACCGTATCATTTTTAACTTTTGCATTGTGTACTTATTATCTGACGTCTTCAAACTATATTTCTTTTAGTTCTAATAAGTGGTTGCTTATATATATATATATATATATATATATATATATATATATATATATGACTGTTATGTACAAACAGTGATATACCTGGAATGCAGAGTCTTCTGAACACCGTGAGCTGCAATCTAACGACACGCCAGAAGGCGTGACCTCCGAAGCGTATCAATGTTGCCCCGCTTCAATGTTCGACAAAGCGACAAGCCTTGTCCAAACAAATCCAGGCCGAACTAAGCACCGCAGATGAACCAACATCCACATCTTCTAATACACCCGAGACACGATGGAATCATTTCAAAGAAGTAGTCTCTAAAGCTTCAATGTCGCATTTGGGTACCACATCCAAGAAGCAGAAAGACTGGATTTCAGAGCACACCATGCTTCTATCCTCGCAAGCCAGAGACGCTCGCCTAGCAAAGTCTCCAGTTTATCGCTCCCTCAGGCGCAAAGCTACACAGTCTGCTAGGAACGACAGAAATCGCTATTGGTCTAACGTGGCGACTAACATGGAAGCAGCATCAAATGTAGGCGATTTCGGAAAACTTTATCGCCTCTACGCCAATCATCTGGCAAACGCCTTAACAGTCATGCTGTGTTACGCACAGCATCAGAAGAAATTATTTCGGACACCAATGGTAAGATGGAACGATGGGCCGAACATTCAGCCACTAACTCAACGCGGGGTGCCATCTCTCCACCGACGAACACACTAACACCCCCCTAGTTGTTTGCTCCCACCCACCCCCCCCAACAGAAATAACAAAAAAAATAAACAGAAAAAAAAAAAAAAGCGCGCGGAGAAGGTGCCCCCCCAAAAAAAAAGACAGGCCCTCCACCCCAACTCAATGCATGCACTCCCTGTTCTGTTCATTGGTTGGCGGAACCAATCCCTTCCTTCGGATGCCCACTTCTGTTCCCTCCCTAAAAAAAAAGGGGGGACAGTAAATAGAAGAACCAGCCGAAATTAGTTGATTTGATTGCTAGTTTTTTTTTCTTTCTCTTCACCGCTCCGCGGCGGACCGCAACGCCCGAGAAGACAAACCAACCGGTTGGATCCGAAGGGGAGGGGTTGTTTAATTATTTTATCCACAAGAATTTTGTTTGAAGGAAAGAATCAAATCCCCCGACGGTGGTTGCTTCTTACTCCCATCCGGCGTGCATTCATTGATTGAGGAGAGGCCGCTTGTAATGAAGTGGGCGGAGTGCGTCCAACCAAATCAACCACCCGCTCATCTACTCCACCCCAAAACCAAGGCTCGGGTCGAAGGGAGAGGAGACCGCCCTTTTTTTTAACAACGGGCCGGGCAGGGTAGTCTTGCCCCCCCCCCCCTTCCATTTCAATTATAAATTGATTTTTTTTTCCGGCCCCCCAACCACCCCCCCGGCCACTAACTTCCGCCCTTAATTACCAACCCCATTAATTGCCGACGCGGCGTTTGTTAAAAAAAACCCTCCCCGAACAAACGGGCGCCCGACCAAATAACCCCCCCCCCCTATCTTTGGTTAAAAAATAACCCAACAAAAAAAAATTTTTTTCAAACCCACCACCAAAATGAAATAATTTTTAACTGAACATAATTTGACTCCTTCTTTATGGTCGATAATCCCCCCCCCCCAGGCAAAAAAAAAAGGAAATGGGACCCAACCCCCGCACGGTTTTTTTCAGGGGGGGTCTTTGAAAGAAAAAAAAAATCGCAAATTAAGTTTCGCCAACCCCTTCCACCTCCTCTTTCTGTTGGATGACCCCTCCTCTTCGCGAGGATGATACGCGAGTCGAGGTATTAAGTTGTTGTTCATTCATTCTGCTTGTTCGTGGCAGAACAACCCTCCAACGAAGAAGTGCGTCGTGTTCACCACCAACAACAAACAACTATGTCACCACCACCGCCGCCGTTGGTGGGTTGTCTTTCCTCCGCCACAGAGACGGTAAATTATACTCCTCCCCCCCACACCTTGTTGTGGGGGGCGGGGAGGGCAGAGAAGACTTGGTGTAAAGCAGAGAGATGTGGGGGGCGACAACCACCGGTCCGCATCGGGAGAAAAAGAATGCTTCCCAACCAAACCTATTTCGGCGCGCCGGGCCGGGAAGTGATCGCGTTAGGAGCCCGCCCCCCTCCGATAGGCGAAGTAAAGTAAAGTAAGTAATCTACGAATGTTTGGCATGTGATTCGCCGAATGTAAGATGATGTTACAGGAGTGGACTACACTGACTCCTAGTTAAGAAATAGGAAGTGAAGTTGTAGAGCATGTTGACCGCTTCACTTATTTGGGAAATGCCGTCAGCCAACGCCAACGGGTTGATCTCTGACGAAATCTCAGCACGGATACAGAGGGCTAGTTTCGCATATGCCAGTTTACGCCGTCTCTGACGTAGACGTGATATCCGGCTGGCTGTCGACCAAAGGGCGGGTGTACTGCTCACCAATCCGCTTCGTCCTCCTTAATGGCTGACTGTGAGACCTGGCCATTGAGAGTGGAAGACAT